TCCATATTGACGATGAAGTAAGGTTCTGGGGGAAAAGTTCCACAATATGACCAGTTCGACCTCCCCACCCCAGGAAACCGTCAGGCAAGGAGGGGAATTTCTTCCCAACATCTGCCCTGCATCGTGACTAGCACGCACTGCCATATTTGGTCCTATCTCTGGGACCAAGTACGACCCACCGGCATGCGGCATGCCCCGAGGTGGAGTGGTGGGCAGGAAAGCAGCGTGCATTTTTCACATCTACCGCCTGGCCTCCGCTAGCGTCCCAAGTCAACAAAACTACGAATGGCGTGGTTTGTTGAAAGGAGAGCAATTTTAGTGAAATCGAGTCCGATTTACTATGCTTTTAACTTTGTTTCAAGGTTTTTATGATTTCTTATTACCTTTTCAATTAAGAGATTACTTCCAAAAAGGGGAGGGGGAGGAGGAGGATCCAGCGGACTTGTAGCTAGTGTTCTTTAATCCATATTTTCAGGTTAATCTTCTTCACAAATTCTGGAAATGTGCCGTCCATTGAGCGAATGTTTTACAGCGGCTATAAAAGGGTTTGTTAGCTTTCTCACAGTTTATCGTATGCCTTCATATCGTAAACGAAGTCCTTTATTAGGAGCGCATAGTGGAGGAAGAAGTGATTGGTGACACACGTTTGTCGATCGACTTCTCTGCTGATAAACTCTATTTTGCCGAAATCACCTCCGCAAAGATCTATCGCGTTGATTTCGATGGGCGAAATAAAGAGGTACGGTCGTTAGCGTTTATACTCGTACGCGGTTGGTCAGCGACTGTTAGTGGCGGGCTCTGATTGGTCAGCGACGTTAGTGGCGGGCTGTGATTAGTCAGTTTATTTTCAGATTGTCCTCCCTGGAACAGAGAACCGCACAACGCTTCTTCGACGTCCATACGCCTTGGCTATCGTTGATGATCAGCTTGCCTACAGTAATATCGGGTCGTATGTCCCGAAATTGTAAGTTCGGTGACGTCATTCATCGGTCGAATTATTTCCCTTTGATCCAAACGTTTAGAGAGCTCGTAATTGCTGATAAAATCGATGGTCTTGGTGAGCGACTAATTGTCGAGACGTCCACTCCAGTGCAAAGTATAACCGTTTCAACGGCCAACGCTCATAAATGTAAATTTTCCATTGGAACATTTGAAAATTTCAAGCATTCATACTTATCGATTTTTCAAGG